GTGAAGTCACATTGCATTGAGATCTAACACATCGTGTCTAGCCTAATATATATCCCTCCCTCCCTCCACCCCGACCCCCCTCCTAAAGGAGGATGCGGTTGTTGATCCCTGGAACATCTTCGACAGACAAAGGGGAACGAGTATAAAAACAGTATCTCTGCCATCCAGCATGTTGAGACTTCAACTCCCAGAATTCCCAGGCAGAGTGGAGCATTGTGGGAGTTGCAGGCCCAGCTCAGGGAAAGGCAGATGGTGGTGGGCATGGGGATTCCAGCTTGGAGGAACTTGGCTCCCCGTCGTAGCTTTCTCTACCTGCTCCCCACCCGCGCCTGTCCCTTCCGTCTTCCAGGTGTGTCTCCTTCGAAGAGCTGGAGGAATCTGAGCTGTTCTACCGTTCCCAAAACCGCTTTGTGCAGCTGCTGGTGGCGTGTTACCACTTTGTGGCTGGGCATTCGGACCTCCTCTGTTACTTCATCATCATCCTCAACAACATGGTCACGGCCTCGGTCATCTCCATCGTTCTGCCCATCCTCGTCTTCCTGTGGGCCATGCTCTCCATCCCACGGCCCAGCAAGTCCTTCTGGATGACGGCCATCGTCTACACAGAGGTGGGGGCCCTTCTTCAGCGGGCGGGTGGCGGAAGTCTTCAAAGCTCATTTTGATGGGAGAAATGGCTTGGCACAGCCTTTTCCCAGCTTGGCAAGCTGAAGGCGAATGGATTTCAACTCCCAGAATTCTCAGCAACGGCGATGCTGGCAGTGGAATTCTGGGAGTTGAAGTCCATTTACTTGGAAATTGCCAGTGTTGGGAAACTCTGGACAGATTTTCTTTCGCTGGGTGCCCTCCCGCCTGGTCTGTTGGACTGCCTCTATTCCCCTACCGGCAAGAACTGGAGCCCACCATGGCACACTGGGGGGGTGGGCGGCGGCTTCAGGGACTCTGGCTTAGGGTTCTCTGTGCTGTCTGGAAGGGCCTGTTCAGCAGAGACCAGGGGTGACATCCAGCAGTGTCCGGAGAACCGGTAGCGGAAATTTCGAGTAGTTTGGAGAACCGGCAAACGCCACCTCTGGCTGGCCCCAGAGTGGGGAGGGAATGGAGATTTTGCAGCATCCTTCTCCTTCCACACCCATCAAGCCGCACCCACAGAACCGGTAGTAAAAGAAAAAATTGAATTTCCCCCCTGGAAGAGACCCAGGCTGGGCCCCAAGGGGTCTGAAGATACTGGCTGAGTCTCGCCCAGGCCCTGGACTCATTTGGATGGTTGAGAGTAGAGCCTCCATATTCAGAGGCAACTTATCTTCAACTGTTAGGCTTCGTGGCACGACAAAACCGCGCTCCACTAAAGCGCGCCCGATTAAACCGCGTCGCTGACGTCATCAGCAGGGTGACAACAGCGACCGCGGAGAAAAAAGGGCACTTTAAATAGCGCTTTGAAAGCAA